TCTCTATGTGATATGCCTGTTTCCCTGTTGCCTTCTGCCATTATTAGAAGCTTCCAGCGGCCTTGCCAGAACAGATGCCAGTATTATGCTTCCTGTATGACGTGTAGAACCATGAACCAAATAAACCTTTTTTCTTCATAAAGAACTGATCCTCAGGTATTACTTTATAGGAATGCAAAACAGACTAACACAGATGTTAAATAGAATAGAACAAGATATAAAATTAAAAATGCACTACAAGTACAACTGTAAACCACAGTGATAGGTAATAGCAGTGTGTTTGCTTTAGATCGTTTCCATTGTCTTTCTCTGTCTTGGCCTGTGTGTGTGCCTCTATATATGTATATATACACACACACACACACACACACATAGGCTGAGCTAGAAGAAGAAAATGAAAGATACAAATATATGGAATTTTTTATTTCAGGAAATAGTTTTCTTGCCTGTAACTGCTAAGTATTTAGTAATTAAGACATCAAAGATAGTATAACTTGAAAATATTTCACTTAAGATACAAGTTATACACATAGCAAAAATATTTAATGAAATAAGATATTTTTCTTTTGATATTTCTGAATGGTTGTGATTTTTATAAAAACAGGCTTCCATATAGAGATATAACTTTATATCCAAATAGTCATCTCATAATAATTATTATAACTCACTCTTAGAACTAATTAGTGAAAGTATTCATTGAATTACATATCAGCTTCCCTACTGATCTGTAAGATAATCTTTAGTATTGAAAATGGTGTTTTCTATTTTTTGTGCATATTATAAAGCACAATGCCTGACTTATCATAAGTAAATTCCTAAACGTTTATTAAATGAATGAATACATATTATCAATTGAAAATATGTAACTGTCATCACACATGCTACCTTCTTCTCCAGATAAACTTCAGTGAACCTTAACTTTGATCTGATATTGTCTCTTCTAATGTCTTTGTGATTATAACTTCCTATTTTAAAAAAGAGAAGCCCTCAGTGGATAATAAGCAGCAATCAGGTGAAGCTTAAGCATGCCATATAGACAAAATTTCTACCAAGAATTAATTGTCTTTGCAGAATATATATCTCATAAGAGACTGAGGGCTCCTATCCTGCAGTAGAGGAGTTTTGAGAACCACTTTTACTGGAACATTTCTCTGAAGCCAATCTTCCTATACTCTCTACTTGAGCTGAACGCCTGGTATGGTTTTACTGAAAGGGATGGTCTATACGTTTTGTGAAATCTTTCTGCCATTGAGCTTGATTATGCTAACATTTAAGTTTTTAAATGTCTTGACTTAATCAGTCTTTACAGTCAGTCCTACTTTTTTTCGCTTCTTACCCAAATAGACATAGTCAATGAGATAACACCAATACTACTTTCCCACAGATAACTAAGATAATCATTTTAGTTTAGTTTTAAGAAATCTTAATCTTATCTTCCATAGATTTTGCAAAACTTCAAGAAGACCTTGAACAAATAAAGCTTACAAAGTGGAGCCAATTAACATTGTCTTTCTAAATGGTCAAGATTTTGTGATCTGTGTAAAAATTTAGAGGTATTAACAGAAATATCCCAGATTTTAAACAAATAGAGCTGGTTTCTAGCCCCTACAGCAATGGCAAGGCTTATAAATTCCTTAAATACAAAGTGAAAATATAAAATAGTTAAGGGGAAGAAATTCAATAGAGAGAAACAACAATGCTGATTCAAATAGAGTTTTAAACTTGAGAGTTCAACTAGAAAGCTTTCTCTAGGGAATAATTCACAGTTTGCCTTCTTTGAGTTCTAGGACACCTAATTAAAAGATACCTTACACTTCAGAAATCTTCTGATATTAATTATTTATTAGAAGACTGTAAAATGCTAACTGTGTATAAGACACAACAGTAACTCTGATATTTATTTATTTGGCTGTTTTTAGGAATGAAGTTCACATTATCAACCTCACTAGAATTTGGATAAAAGGTTTTAGACTTTTTTTCATCGTGCCATTACCATTTTCTATATAATAATCAATATTAAAAAACATGAACTATACATTCATTTGGGTTTAGTGCGAACTGAAGAGAAAATTCAAACAAAACTGTACAGTTGAATTTTGCTAAGACAGTAGATCTTAAGTGTTCTTACCACACACACACGAAAGTAACTATGTGAGGTGGTAGATATGTTCATTAGTTTGATTATGATAATCATTTGACAATGTATTCCTATATATCAAATCATGTCATATACACTTTAACTGTATACAATTCTTATTTCTTAGTTACACCACAGTAAAGTTGGGGGAAAGAATATAAATATAACAGCTAAATTATAATCTATCAAATCTATGGTTCCAAATAGCAATATGTGAAACGAGTTTAATGTAGGTAGTCATGTCATTGCCCTTCTTTCTTCTTTAATTATAATTGAACTCTCTTTTAATCAAATGTTACTGTTTTATTAAAAATATATTTTTAAATATTTTCTAGGTTAGGTTTAATTTCATAATATGCTACTCAAATAAAATTATGTTGCTTATGTAAAATTAAAGACTTCTTGTCCAAGTAAAATTTGATCAACATAAAGATATGGAATCTGTAAATTCAATTACATATCAAATGTACTGAAGTATGTTTCTAGTTATTTCTAGTGATATACTTTATTTATTTTTGAGATAAAGTTTTGCTCCAGTCACCCAGGCTGGAGTGTAATGACACGATATTGGCTTACTGCAACTTCCACCTCCTGGGTTCAAGTGACTCTCCTGCCTCAGCCTCCTGAGTAGCTGTTATTATAAGTGCCCATCACCATGCCCAGCTAATTTTTATACTTTTAGTAGCAATAACATTTCACCATGTTGGACAGGCTGGTCTCAAACTCCTGACCTCAGGTCCTCCGCCTACCTCGGCCTCCCAAAGTGCTGGGATTACAGGTGTGAGCCTAGTGATATATTTTTACAGCCTTTAAAATTTACAAAGTATTTTTACACACTGTCATCAATTAAATCTTAAAAACACCATTTTAAAAGTGTAAAAACTGAGATTTAGAGATAGGCATTAACATACATGACTAAAATCACTTGTCTGGTAATGACAGAAACAGGAGCAGAACCCAAGGCTTCCGGCCTTCATTCAGGTTCATGTTTTTCACATTGACCAATTTTCTTCCAATGTTAAGAACTGTTGCCATACCTACCTCTAACTTTCGGAATATCTGAATTTCACTGTTTCAGTTTTTCTTACTTAGTACTTTTAATTGAAGTATGTGCAAGTGAATTCATGAATGGCCAGAGTTCAGGAGATGTACAGTTATCTTTATAAAGTCAATAGGACACTGAGAAACCTAGGACTAACTCAGTCACTTCCCCATCACTGATCAATCTGACGCATGTTAGTGACCTCAACTTTAAGTGAAATAAATGAGATTTCTACAAAAACATTCATTAGAAAATCTTTTAAAGTTTAATAGGAAAAATTAGATTAAACTTCAAAGTTTAATAGGGAAACAGGAAAAATACATTTGTCTACAAGACTCTTGACTTTTTCTGACAACTAAGAATACTTAACTGAATTGTATATGAATTTTTAAGATTTCCATCAGTTGTTTTATATATTTTATATATCTATGCATGCACACATATAGTGTTATATAATATGATTACAATTATATAACTATGTAAACTGTAGTGCATATAAAAATTATATATATTATATATAAACTATGTATGAGATGTATATATAAAATGATCAATGAGATCCTTAACTGAATACACACACACACACACGAATAAGTAAAGATAAGCTGACATAAATAAGTATGAATTTTGTTACATAGCAAAAAAATTCCTTTAGGAAAAGAACCCAACCATAACACAGGGCATTTCATAACTTTAAAAACTGATGAGGTACCTTAAACGGTCCCCTTTGCCACCTTGGTGGGACTATTATTAATACTAGAAACTAAATTATAAACTGAATATCAATGTGCATTTTAGCCTGTTGAAACAAACCAGGACAATTAATAATAATTATACAGAATGTAAGCAGTCTCAGTGACTGCATGCAGTCTGGTGTTACAACTGGCCTGTGTAACTTTCTAAGCAAACCTTAGCAGAGACACTGCAGGCATTTGACCTCAGGGCTATACAGAGGAGATATTGTGAATATAGCTTTGAAAATAAAATAATTTTATGGATTAAGATGGAATATAATTCTCAATATTTTAGTTCTAGGGCAAATTTTTCATCTTCATGGATTCTCAGAGCAAAATAAATTATTTTACTTCTTTTGATTTTCAGGTTACTAGAAAACCAATGGATCAAATTCTGGCCCTGAACTATATGTTTAATGCTAATTGTTGTCAATTTAATCATTTAGGTATGCTATATGTTATTAAATAATAATTACATTAGGTTAAGAAGGGAGATTATATAGATTACAGGTATTTTTAAAATAATAATTTTCCAGAAAAAGCTAATATCAACTTACATTAAATCTTTGTCCAAAAATATTATTTTAATCAAACTATTCTTATAGACAGAGTTGTATTTTTATACAACATGATAATTAATGGGATATTTACTATCTCATGTCATTTTCACGTTAGTAAAATCAAAGTTCAATGTAATGATGAATTAGCACAGGGGAATATTTATAGCTTTATTATTTTTCATACAATTGTGCAAGCAACTATGAAACACAGCCACCAGTTGTTCAGGAAGTGTTTTCTGGAGGACAAACAAGACGTTTACATTTAATTTTTTGTATTATATTTGTAAATAAGCATTTTTTCTTGCTGGGATGATCTTCATCACAAAATTAAAGATTTGTATTTAAAGAGACATACTACTAGGTAAGCATTCCATATAATAATTATCTTGAAGAGTTTGCTTCTTTTGTAATTAGTTATGTCCTGTCAGAGTGTGGGGCTTTGTCAAGGCCAACAAAATATTTGATTTTATTTCTATTCAAAATCATCTTTCAATCAAGATTAAGGCCAAAGGAAAAAAGTCACTTACTTTGCTTTAGCTTCTGCATCTTCATATGCTTTATTAGAAACATCATCCAGCCCTCCAATCAAATGCTTGAAAGAACTATCAGAGGAAAAGGACAGTGATTAGAGTAAACCTTCTAAAAAGCAGTAAAAATGGCAACCTAGTTAGTGACATAATAAAGCAATCTAAAGGCATATATATAAAAATAAATTCAAACACTTAATCTAAATGCGTTATTAAGAAGTATGTCAGATAATATTTTTCCTGACTAGAATATAAACTCTATGAGATTAGGAACCTCTTCTACCTTATTTGCCAATACAGTTGCCGACACATAACCAAATCTGGCAGCCACATCTGGCAAAAGCAGATATTCAAATAATTGTTTGGAATAAAGTCTGTGACACATTAAATGATATATATCACAAAATACTGAAATGTCAGCAAGATCTACCAATCATGAAATGTCTCCTATATGCCATGTACTATTATTTGAATTACCATTAACATATATTAATTCCAATTCTCAAACAAATTCTAAAAACAAGCATCATTATCTCCACTTAACAAAATAGTAAACTAATCTTCAAAGGCAAAATAAATGTGCAGAATACAGGAAAACAACAGGAGAGAATCACAGAAAAATTAACTCATTTTGGAAGAGTGAAAAGCCAACTTTAGCATAAAACAGGAAGAGTGATTTTACTGCTTACATCAAATCTATTCAATATCCTACTGTGCATCTGGAACTGTATTCAGACTTCTGTAGTGAAGCCTTTTCAATTCTGTCACTGAAATATAAAATATTATAGAGCCAACACAAAATGAATACACACATGTATACTAGAATCACCTTTAAAAATTACTGAATACAACCAGATACAGTAACTCTTACTATACACTACATTCTGGCAACTACTGAATTAGAGTGAAGAAAAGAAAAAAGTGAAAGTCTATACTCAGAAGTCCCAGGACACATACAAATATCGGAGCCTCACTTACATGGTACTCATATGCCAAATATTGCTATAAGTGCTTTACATGTAATAACAAATAATAGTTGCAATGAGGTTTTTTGAAATAAAAGTATATGCTTTTATTTTGAAATACTATGAGTTAGTATTACTATCTCCAATTGTAATGGAGATAATTTTAAAGTACTTTAAGAAATTACATTTTAATTTTAAGCCTCTCTCATCTTAACAAATTAAACGGTTTGTGTGTTGTATTAAACTATAAGTTATGTGTAGTCAGGTCCCAAAACATAGTAAAATGCTTGCTGATTTAAAATTTAAATGTTCCTTAATTTCTTTTACATATACTTTTTAACTTTGAAAAACTATAAAGAGAAACATGACACCCTTCTTGGGGCTGGCTGGAGGGGAAAGGAGCAGCTGTTACTTCAGACCCTTGGGTAATGAGCTCATTTAGGGTGCATGGTAACCAGAATGCTGAACCTAATATATGAACTATTTCTATACATAAAGGGACCCCAAACAAGATTAGGCAGAGATCCAGGGAGTCAAGAATCACATTCAAGAATATAAAGCTTTCTATAATGAATTGTATTAATTCATGCCAAAACAAATGAATGCTAAATAGACAAATAATAGGCAACGGTCCTTACAAAGTTTTCAAAAATATATTATCAGTGATAAGTAATAAATATAATTCCCATAGTTGAAAAATATGTTCAAATATTATATTTGTCATTGTTCTTTATATGGCAAAATTTCCTACTTTCCCATAGAATGTCTTGGTCCTTACTTAAACTTAGAGGAGGTATGAGTTTAGAGAATGTCCTTAAGGCTAGACATGTTCACAATATAAAGTAAAATATAATACTTCTTTTATTATAAAAATAGATAATATCTGATTAATTTTCTATTTTTGTGTTTAGATAATACAAAAATTTAAGCACAGAATTTAAGTTCCTTGTCCAAGATGACTGCAATTCAGCAGCATATCTACCATTAGATGTAGATTCATAATGCTCTGTCCTTTATAATATTTGGATATTTCCAATACAATGAAATTCAAAACACTATGAAAAGGTATTGAAAAAGAAGAATCAAATAATATTATGTAGGAAAAATCAAACAGCAATAATTACTAAAACTTAGTTTTTGTAATCCATTCAGATATATTATGAGATTGTGTTATTAGGCCTTTAAAACTCATAGTAATTCTGAAAAATCAAGTAGTTTTTTTTTTTTTAAATAAAAATCCTGTCTTCCTTCTATTATCTATTTGAGCTAAGGCCACTTGAGATAGGATAGCACATTATCAAAGAATTACGGAGTAAACTGACGATAAATCTGACAAGAATTAAAACTTTTAACTTAAGAAATTCTGTTCAAACCATTAAGATTAAAACTCTGGAAAATGTTATTTTGAAAATATACTTTGAAATTCTTATTAGCAAAATATATAAATGGAAAAACATAGCTATAGTTACGTTAGATGAAATTTTAATAGTAGAAATCATCTAATCATCCCAATGAGCTTAAAAATAAGTTGATCTTGATTGGAAAAAACACTTTAAACCTCATCAGATCCAGTGACAAGTATTACATTAAAAAACAATGAAAAAAATCAGTATCTGAAATATAACTTTCTTAATGTCTTCCGAAATGTCCTTGATTTGAAATATGAATGTTCTATGTTGTCCTGACTCAATATTTATTAATATTTCTTATGACTAGACAAATAAATGAGAAAATAATATGTACCTACAAAAGACCTCTATCAATATAAAAATTATTTTTAAAATCAGTTCCCACTTTTATTTAAAATGTAATTAATTTTTGATTATAAATAAATTAAAACAGAATGAAGAAATTAAGAAATCACCCATACCTCTAACTACAAATGACTAGTGGGGGTATCTTTATATATTTCCTTTTACTTTTTAATTATTTTTCTGCATAGCTTTTTGTTGTTCTTGTTGTTCATACTTGTAATCTTGGTAGCTATGATTAATATGTTGATTTTTAACTTAATATTATAGCATATGCATTTACTTTAATTTTGAAAAACTCCTTAAGCAATAGTTTAGAGGTGAACACATCACAAGTACTCAAATATTCACAGACACATACATACACATGTATAGTTGAAAAAGGAGTTGTTGACCTTTTATACCAATATCTTTATTCATACCCTGTATTATAGACTAAACATATGGAATTTATTTTCAAAATAAATATACTTAAAACTATAATTTTGGCCTTTGGAATTGGAACCATGTGTCCTTCATAAATAATCTTTACTTAGAAGCCAATCCTAGCCAAAAGAATATAACATTTTCTGAAACATTAAACAAATGTGTCTTGCTGATATTCAAAATCTTCTTAAACGATAAATCAACCATTATACATCACTGCAAGTTTAAGAAAACATAGAATTTCTAGTAATATTATTGCGTTCCAAATGACTGCCACTGTCTGCAGATCCCTGTACTGATCAATGAATAATTTAGGACATCTTGATAAGCACAATTGATGGTGTTATAGAATTTATCACTCCTGGAACAAAAATGAACCAATTAGTGTTTCATTTTTTCTTCTCTCAGACACTCTGTAGGAACACCTGCCATCTGTGTGAACCCTCATCAAATAGACATTTCGAAAAGTACTACTATAGGTATCAAATGCTTTCCTAAATGGTTACTCAGGTCCTATGATATTTCTTGACTAATGCCTTTTTTTGACTGCTATTCTATTCTGAAAAAGATTATAATGAGATGTTGTGAAAACTCCAGCAACTGAATGAGTAGAAACCAGAAAATATTATTTATAGGTTATAACAAATATAGGCAACTAGAAAAAAATCATTAAATTCTCTTTTTAAACAAACTCACAACTCATAGACAAGTTACATTTTAACATTGTAAAATAAAATATCCAGTTTCTACATAAATGCTAAACCTAATTTCAGAATAAACTGCAGACACGTCACTGAGAAAATGGCTTTAGTTTAGGGCATCTCTGCAGCAAACCTCTATGCATGTACATATTTCATGCAAAATTTTCTGTCACTTTTCTTGGGATAGAAAATCTGATTTTACAAGTCTTGACAGAATCCTTGAAGGAGTGTGGGTAAAATGTTATCATTTGAGTACACAGATGTTGAAAGAGGGCAAATGGGAAATCCCGTTTTTTTTTTTTTTAAGGACAAAAAGAAATTCTATATTTATGACTAAGAATATCAGACAGTTCCATTAACTTATTTTGTTAGGCCTTTTGATTAAACTAAAGGTCCAAGTTTATTCTTTTTTTTTTTTTTTGAGATGGAGTCTTGTTTACCTGTGTAATAATCCTGCAGGATCTGCACATGTACCACAGAACATAAAGTATTAAAAAAAAAAAAAAAAAAGAATGAACTTGGGCTAGATGTGGTGGCTCACGCCTGTAATCCCAGCACTTTGGGAAATCCATTTTATGTGTAACGCTGGTAGTTTATACATGCTTGCCAGGTGGTGAGGGAAAATAAAGGAAAGAGGAAGGAAGAAGGAAGAACAAGGAAGGGATTAAGGAAAGAATACAAGATGTATGGAAAAACGGAAACAGGAAGGAAAAAGAAACTATAATCTTTACACACTAAGAATGGTAACATTTAAAGAAATTATCCTTGAAGGTTATCAGTTAAGAAGCTGTGTTTCTCAGTCTAGAAACTTTGTCTGTTTTAGAATGCTATGATGACAGTAACTCAGTGGGTAATAAGTTTAGTCATTAAAATGTTTTCATTATTAAGGCAAAACATTCTTCTGAAGGGAGCTGATTACTCAGTGGTATGTCTAAAGAGAATATAATTCAGCTCTTCAGCTGTGATATAATGAGACCTCATCTAGACAGAAATGGTATTTTAAATTATTAGAAAGGCAGTCCAAATATCAGAGTTCAGCATTACCATGCTGTTAAAAAATCATAGCATTTATAGTTTACTTTACAGTGTACAAAGCACTTTTTATATTCATGAATCATGTATGTATTCAATTATGTGTGTGTGTGTGTGTGTGTGTGTGTTGATTTTATTCTCATGACCTCCTATCCTTTATTCTGATATAATGGTTTAGAATTTTGTATATTTTTAAAATA